CTACTCTATGCGATCTGATGGGACAGAGGGAGGTAATCGGCAGAAGGCGGTCTCTCAAATAGCCAAATCCACTACCATGGAGCGCTTTATAGATGGTAAGAAGGTCCACTGGTGGAACCTCTTCTAACCAGTTCAGTAGATTTGACGAACCGGTTCTTCCAAACCGGTGAGAACCGGTAGGAACCCACCTCTGCTATGAGCCCTCCTTCCTTAGCAAAATTCAGCCCTTGTTAAAATGAGAGCTTATCGATGCCTCATTCTGACTCTCCTTAATATCCAGGACATTTAGAGCCCACTGAAAGTTTTGCTAACATAAAGAGCAGCTTAAGGCTCAGAACACCCTGACCCAGAGATGACAAATACGAGCATAGTTGGGACTGGATAACTTGGGAATTCCCAGCCATGAGAGTGACATAGCAGGTAGTAAAGAAATCCTGCTGACGGGTTTCTCATGAGCCAGGAAAGCACAAGCTATGCGCCCTCCCTCCCAACCTTTGGTACAAATGAAGCATCATTTGCAATGTAATAAAATGTAATATTATTACATCACATAATAAATGTGATGCTATCACAGTCATTACAGCATAATTTCAGCATTACTTTACCTCCCAAAGACCGATAAGATCACACAGATTGGGCCTCCTCCGGGTACCATCAGCCGGTCAATGTCAGCTGGCGACCCCCCGGGGGAGGGCCTTCTCTGTTGCTGCTCCGGCCCTATGGAATGATCTTCCCGTAGAGATCTGGACCATCACTACTCTTCCGGCCTTCCGTAAAGCTATTAAGACCTGGCTGTTCTGGCAGGCCTGGGGCTGTTGATTAGAATCCAGCCCCATTCCAAGTTGTATGCATGTTGTGTAATTTTAAATAATTGTATTTTAATTTTAATATATTTCTTTGTTTGTCTGTAAGCCGCCCTGAGTCCCTAGGGAGTGGGCAGCATACAAATGTCAATAAACTTCCAAACTTCCAAACACACAGCTGTTCCATTTAAATTATTTTTCACACTTCCCAGTGGGGAAACTCAAACCTAGCAAAGGAAGATTTGAACTCTTCCAACAGGTGTTTGGGAACAAAGTCATACTATAACTCGAAGGATGCTTCACACAATTTGCCCTGACCTCAAACTGGTTAACCAACCTTATGGGCAAAGTTTACTTGAAACACAGAGCTTGGAAGAACACACCTTAAAATGATGTTCAACCATCTTCTTAATTGTGGAGGATTTGACCTTAGTTTATTCTTTTGTCTCCAGAAAAAGCGTGAACAATTTGCAGGTCACATATCCAAAATGGAAAACCAAAGAAAGTACCAGGAAAACAGCGTGACTACATTAACTAGCGAGAATCCATCCCCAAAGAAAAAATAACCAGAAGAAAATCTTACAAAACCACTAATGTCATGGAAGAAAATGGAGAATCTTATTAGCTAATTTGACTTTTGTGCAGCTGGGGCATTTTCTGACAAATTCTTCATCAACTTCTATCAGGCTCAAAATACCCGATAAATACATTTAAAATATTGTGAAGGGAGAAAACATTAATAGGAAAGTTAGAGGTAATAGGCCTAGGAGCAAGCTTGAAGGCCTCACTGAACCAAAGTTTTAAACTAGCATAATTGCAAAATGTACCAGACTAATATTTCCAAATGTGCTGACTTGTGCTGCATTTTCTGCAAAGCTTGTACTTGATAATGGATATATTTAGAGCAGGAGGANATATTGGAACACTGCTATCATCTCTCCCCTAGTCCTTCTTTTCATTAAAATAGGCATACCCAGTTCCTGCAACTGTTCTTCATATGTTTTAGTCCCCAGTCCCCTAATCATCTTTGTTGCTCATCTCTGCACTCTTTCTAGAGTCTCCCCATCTTTTCTACATCGTGGCAACCAAAACTGAATGCAATATTCCAAGTGTGGCCTTACCAAGGCATTGTAAAGTGGTATTAACACTTCATGTGATCTTGAGTCTATCCCTCTGTTTATGCAGCCTAGAACTGTGTTGGCTTTTTTGGCAGCTGCTGCACACTGCTGGCTCATCTTTAAGTGGTTGTCCACTAGGACTCCAAGATCCCTCTCACAGTTACTACTATTGAGCAAGGTATCAACTATATTGTACCTGTGCATTTTGTTTTTCTTCCCTAAATGTAGAACCTTACTCTTAACGTCCTTCCAATTTATAGCTGGACAGCAGTTAAACCACGTTGTTTCACAAGAGTTTCTATATACCCAATGGCTTTGTCATGAGATCAGCCAAATTATTTTCCGCTGGGCAATAAATTATTTTTTCTTTCACTGCTTCGCTGACATTACAATGCTTTATGGAATCATATTGGTTTACTTTTTTTACTCTTTCACCTGTTGCCATTTGTATACATGTTGTGTTATTTTCAAATACTGGTATAGCTCTTTTCACTTCAATATCCAAATCTTTTAACAACTGTATATATCAAGTGTTAGAAGAAAAATCTGATCTGGTTCCAAGACGGGGAAAAAGGCATTGGAAATAAAATAGAGGCTGATTGGAAAGGACTGTTTACTGATGAGCAGAACCAACAACAGCATGTAGTTCTGGGATAGCTGACCCCTTGGTTTAGGATTGGGTGGGTTTTTATAGGGTTCTGAGATGCTGCAGAGTGTTGTGCAATGTAGTGAGCCTTGTGCCTTTTGTTATTCTAATGGTGGTGGTTTAATCCCATTATGTCCTAAAGGTGATGATGACCTGTTCTTAGAATTTGGGTGGGAGGTGTAATTTTTTTTAAAATAATGTTTATTGAATGTTTTAATCTTTAAAAACAGTAAAGACGACACAACAAGGAAAACAAAATAAAACAAAACACAGGTAGTTTTGAAGGGGAGGTGTAAATTTTAATCCCATTAGCTCCAACCTTCTTTTTATTGTGTTTATGAATAGATTGGCCCAGTCTTTCTTAATGGCCACAAAATATCCACCTCTAAAGACTTCAGGCATGTGTTGGAAGCTATTGAGAAAGGGATTGGGGCTGCTTTCTGCCTTTAAGAACATGTTTCTCCATTTCTCCTCTGGGGAAATATATTCTGCCTCTTTTAATATCCCCCAAAATATTTCAATCTCTAGGATGGTGTGTGTGTGAGAGAGAGAGAGATTACTTCTTACACATTATATCTGAATACAATTGTCAACTTCGAAATGGACCAGGCCTGCCTGCCGCAGGCATCATTCCATTTTTCAGCTGCCACACATTATGGCATGGGGGAGAGGTTTGCAATGTCAGGCCAGACAGTAACAACACATCGTCCTGTGGGAACCAAGCAGAGGTGGGTTGCTGCCGGTTCCGCCCGCCCGGCGCCCA